CTTAAACTTGATATATTAGTTTTGGGATCTCATTTGCCATTTAAGAAATATTTTCAATTATTTCTCACATTTTTATTGTCTATTTAAATAAACTTTTATATTAATGTATAATAATGTGAAGGAAAATATTATACAGTATTTTCATTTTGCAAAAATCAAAACTATTGATTTAAATTACAATAATACTGTATCATAATATTATAATTTATATTATATAGAATCACTCATAACTTTTTAGTTGTTTTCACAATTTTAATAAAATTTACAGTAAGTTTTTGCTTACTTTTATGGTTGAAAACACTTATCAATCACTAAACTAGTGATAATGTGAACGATAGGCCATCGTTTCGCTGATACCACTGATCAGCTTGGTCACCACATATGCACTGGTATTTTTTAGCTACCAGTGCTGTAAGCGATACGGGAGGTCGGCAGGGGTTGAGTGGACATGTGTTATAGTTTGTGAACTTTTTTATTACTTAATTCACATATCAGTAATATATATATATATATTTATATTTAAATTGTTATAAAAATGTCTAATGTTTTCAAAAAATATATATCTAAATAGCTTCGCCAACATAACATAACATTTTTTGAAAACATTAGACATTTTTATAACAATTTAAATATAAATATATATATATATATTACTGATATGTGAATTAAGTAATAAAAAAGTTCACAAACTATAACACATGTCCACTCAACCCCTGCCGATATCGCTTACAGCACTGGTAGCTAAAAAATACCAGTGCATATGTGGTGACCAAGCTGATCAGTGGTATCAGCGAAACGATGGCCTATCGTTCACATTATCACTAGTTTAGTGATTGATAAGTGTTTTCAACCATAAAAGTAAGCAAAAACTTACTGTAAATTTTATTAAAATTGTGAAAACAACTAAAAAGTTATGAGTGATTCTATTAATAATTTGATTAAAACCAATTACGGTATGGACGGCATACGGAGGTGCAGGCAATGGGAGAGAGACATGTTTAAAATAGTTAAGTACCGTGAACACCTTACTTTTAATAAAAAATGCTATGAAAATAAAATTATACCTAAAAGTTTACAAGTAATATCTAATGATAAATACCCTAGCTCAATAAGAGCTGCTAAAATTTGTAGTTTAATTTTTATAAAAAATAGGATAAATGTTTGTAAATACAAACTAAAAAAGTTTTACAGACTAGCAAATCTAAAATTTAAATCTCTTAATTATTTATTACCAAAAAATATGTTAAATATAATAGAATCTAGAAATATTAAATATTGTAAAAATTTAAAATCAAAAATTAGAATGAGACAAAAAAATAAATTCAATAAATTATTAAATACTCAATTGTATTTATCAAACAATAATATATTTAATAATAATAAAATAAATAATAATAATAATAATAATTCAAAATGGATAGTTAATTTATCTAATAAACATTTTAATAATGATGAGCAATATATTTTAAGTTTAGATCCTAAGTTTCAAGTAGTGCCAAACAAAATTATACCTGAACAGTTTATATCTAATATAGAAAGTAAATTAAAAAATTTAATTCAAAATAAACCAGATTTAGAAAATATTAGAATAAATTTAATTAATAAATTAAAAAATTATAAATCAATAAAACCTAATCTAACAAAAAAACAAATAACTAGTTTAAATAAACTAAAAAATGATAATGATATTGTCATAACATATGCCGATAAAGGCAATAAAACTGTTATTTTAAATAAAATAGACTATATAAGTAAAGTAGAAAATATTTTAAATGATAAAAAAATATACAGTATTATTGACACTAATAATATTAACACAATTGCAAACAAACTTAAAAATATATTAAGAGATCTTAAAAATAAAAATTTATTAAATAGAAATGAATATTATTATATATATCCAAGTTATTACAATATACCTAATTTATATGCTTTAATAAAAATTCATAAAGAAAATAATCCAGGTAGATTAATTATCCCCTATTTTAATCACCCTTGTTCAAAATTAGCAAAATATTTAAGTGACATTATTACACCTACATTACGTAATAGCTTATACACATTAAAAGACTCTAAACAATTTGCAAATATAATAAAATCACAAAAAATTAAAAACAATGAAATAATGATTTCTTTAGATATTATTAATTTATTCACAAATATTCCTTTAGATTTTACATTAATATTAATTAAAAACAAATTATTAAACGACAATACACTATCTAATAGAACTAATTTAGATGTAAATAATATTATAATTTTGATAAACTTTTGTATGTTTAATAATTGTTTTACATTTAATGATAAATTTTATATCCAAAAATCGGGAGCCCCTATGGGTTGCAATCTGTCTCCAGTTTTAGCAGAAACATTAGTTAGTTATATATTTGAATTATCTTTAAATAATTGTAACTTTAAACCTAGTTTTTTAAAATTTTTTGTTGATGATAGTTTTTTAATTATAAACAAAAGATATGTTGAAAAATATTTATTTCACATTAATAAAATTGGTAAATCTATTGGTAATATTCAATTTACTATAGAATATGAAATTAATAATATACTAAATTTTTTAGATGTACAACTTATAAAAAATAATGAATCTATAGATACACTCGTATACCGCAAACCTACACATTCTAATAGATATATTGATTTTAAATCTCATCAATCAATACAAAACAAAAAATGTATAATCAATACACTAGTTAATAGAGCAGTTAGTTTAACAAATCCTAATGAGAAATTAAAAGATGAATTAAATATTACAAAACAAGCATTAATAGAAAACAATTTTCCTAAAAAAATAATAAATGAAACTATAGATAAATGTTTAAATAAAAACAATAATAATTTGTCAGATAAAAATAAATTTGATATCACCAAAACTATTTCAATCCCTTATTATAAAAATTTAAGTGAAAATATAAGGAAAATTTTAGCAAATTATGATATAAATGTTGTATTTAAAAAAGGTTTGACAATAAAAAATTTATTAAACAAAAATCCGTTAACTTTATTAAATAAAAATAATATAGTCTACCAATTAGATTGTATAGACTGTTCATTTAAATACATTGGCACTACATGTAGAAAATTATCTGATAGAATTATTGAACATAAAAAAGCAATAAATAATAATTATATAAAAAGTAATGTAGCTGACCATGTTAGATTAACTAGTCATAACATTAACTTTGATTATCCGAATATTATTTATAATGAAAAAAATAAAAGATCAAGATATTTTTTAGAGAGTTTTTATATTGAAAAATGCAAAATTAAAAATATTAATCTTATGAATGACCAACAAAATAGTAAAACATGTATTCCCAGTACTTATTTATCGCTAATTAATAATTAAAATGTTTGCCAAACTAGCCCTTAAAGGGCTAGTTATGTTGGCGAAGCTATTTAGATATATATTTTTTGAAAACATTAGACATTTTTATAACAATTTAAATATAAATATATATATATATATTACTGATATGTGAATTAAGTAATAAAAAAGTTCACAAACTATAACACATGTCCACTCAACCCCTGCCGACCTCCCGTATCGCTTACAGCACTGGTAGCTAAAAAATACCAGTGCATATGTGGTGACCAAGCTGATCAGTGGTATCAGCGAAACGATGGCCTATCGTTCACATTATCACTAGTTTAGTGATTGATAAGTGTTTTCAACCATAAAAGTAAGCAAAAACTTACTGTAAATTTTATTATATTATATATATATATATATATAAAAGAAAATTTATTTTAATATTTTAAACATTTTAAAATTACTAATATTAATAAATGCCTTTCAACACTAATTTAGTAGAAAAATATTTTTTTATTATTAAAACCTATTTTTTATTTAATTTTCTTTTTTATATTTGTTCACTTATTAATATTTTAAATTATATATATTAAAAATATATACAGTAGATTTTTATTCAAAAAGTAAATATATTAAATACAACGCATTGTAATTTAGAAATATTATATTTATATGATATAAGTATTGATTAATAATTTCATTAAATGTTTCATATTATTAAATCAATTGATATTAATTTCAATAAAATATAATATTGTTAAGTATTAAAAATTATTGTTGAAAATGTCTTATGTATAACGGTTTTGATGTTTTTTATTATCAAAAATATTTACGAATAGACTGTCATTGTTATGTCTCTAAAGACTTAGGACTAAAATATATAATAAATTGACGCAAAACATGAGTCATGTATTTTTAAAATTATGAAAATTTATTTTCTAATAATTAGATAAACTGTTGTAAAAATAGCCAACAATTCATTCATAGCATAGACATTGAACAAAATGCAACACTCTTTTAGAAAATGAAAAATTATATCACTTTTAAAGACATTTTATCGTTTGTTAAATATTTTATTTGCAGAGCTCTCTCTCTCTCTCTYTCTTTCTTTCTTTCTTTTTTTTCTCTCTTTATAAACATCCGTTTTATTCCCTTAAATATCTATAGTTTAATATTACATAACATAGATATAAACTACAGTATATACAGTATATATATTATACAAAGTTATCATCACTAAATTATTTTATATTTTTAATATTATATATATTGCTGGAACAGTGATAACGTGTGATTCATTTAATAATACAATACACATGAGTGTAATCAATGTTAAATTTTTAATACAAAAATTTTATTTAATAATAATTTTGTATTTTCTAATTTATTATACTACATGATAACATATGTAAAAGCTGAAATCTTATATTAAATAATAATGTACTTTGTTTACTATAACTTTTTAAGATTTTTTGTTTAATTAAAAATTTATTGACTAATAAAGTCTATATAATAATTTTATTTATTTTTTGCATAATTTTATGTAAAGATATTTAATTTTAGATAATAATAATAAGCAGAATATATAATAAAGAAATATTTTTTAAATTTATATAATTAGATTAATAATAATTTTTATTTTTAATATTTTGTTTTATTAAATTTCATTTAGATTTAATTGCATATTTGAAATACAAGACTATCATTATTACTACAAACAGCTGTAAGAATTAAACGGTAAAAACTTTTTTATTTTATTTAAATTATAGTTATATATTATTATTAATTAATTATCAATAATATTATTAGTCTTTAAATTGTTTTTAATTAATGTTTTGTATATATTTCAAAAGTGTACTATTCTTCATATTTTCTATTTACGATATATATATATATAGATAATTTAAATTATGTATAAACTTAATTATTTTTATATATTGAATGACAATTTGCAAAAATAATTATTTATTTTAGAATATAGAATTTAATTTTTAAGAATCTATTCAAATTATAAATGAAAAATATATATTAAATTACTAATATAATTATATAAAAACATTTTTAATGTATAGACTACTGTATGTGAATACATTCATAGTCATGAAATACATTTGATATTTTATATTACATAAAAATAATAATATTTTACATAAATTTTTACAATAGTAAACTGAATTAAATTAGAAAATATAAGATTTAGTTCAAATTTTGCTTTTATTTTACTATAAATATATTTTGTAATGGAATTAGATTTCAAAATTTGAATATATTATATATTTTAAAAATAATATCTATATATATATATATATATTATAGTTATTATTCAATTTTTAAAAATATTTATTTTTAATAAAAAAGATGTTGTAATGCGAAACTTTTTATAAAACTAATATTAATTAAAACTTTGAATTGTCATAAATATTAAATTATTATTTTGAAAAAAGTAAATATTTTATTTGATAAAATAATTTAGTTTTTTAGTACTTTGAAATACAAATAAAAAACTTGATAAAATATAATAAAATTTGAATATTAATTATTAAATAAAACATTTTTAAAATGTTAATATTTATTTTGAATAAATTATTTTATGAAAATATTGAAAAATATATTGAATATTAATAAGTTTTTATTGATTTTTTGACATATATTATTGAATATCAATTAGTTCAAAATTTTATTAATGATATTTATTATATTTATATAAAATAATTATTAACTCAAATTAATTAACGAGTGAATGCACTCTACATTTATAACAGATAACGAAGACTTAAGTTAACTAAGATTACATAATTGAGATTTTATGTGATAATTGAGATCTCTCTCTCTCTCTCTCTCTCTCTCTCTCTCTCTCTCTCTCTGTCTCTGTCTCTCTCAGCTAACACACAATACATACACATAAGCACAGAAAACATTATATCATCAATATAAATTATTATGAAAAATAATTATTAGATTATTTTTTAATTAAATTATTAGTCTTTTAGACATTAGTTCAGACATGCATATGCTATGTTAGACAGTAATAGTAATAATAATTTTAATAATAACTAATGCAAGAACTGCTTTATTTATAATCCAATTTTAAAAAGCCTTACATATATATAAAACACGACAACAAACAAAATTAAATAAATAATTTAATTAAATTAAAGGAAAATTGGAAAGAATTTATATAATGTTTTGATCAAAAATAAGAGAAAATAATTATTTAGAATCTATTGATTAATTTAATAATTAAATTTTAAATTAATGTCATAATATGGTATTAGAAATAATTAATTATTATCTAAACTATTCATTTGTGAATAGTTAGACAAAAACATATATATATTATGATTTATTCATCAATTTAAAAATGATTGCCCAATGATTACGTCAATCATTTTTATAATTGTTTGTTTTAAATAATGATATAAATTATTCAATGAAAACATTAAATATTGTTAGTTATATTTATTTTTTGTATTTATATATATATATGTACACAAATACATTTTTATATATATGTTAGATATTTTTAAAAATTGTTGTTTATAATTAACTTTTTTTATAATAATATAATGGCAATGATGACATTATCTAATATTCAAACATTAAACTAATAGACCAAAAATGGCTTCAATTATATATGTTTATTGTAAGATATCGTATGATTGTGTGCATTACATCTAATAAAATATGATTAAATAAATTGAATAACAAATGAATGAATATAATATACATATACAGTAAGTTTATGATTACTATTATAATAATCATTAATGTTATGATAATTAATGTTGGTTTTTATTTTATTTTTTTTATTAATTTTCATAAATTTTATTTTTATTTAAGATCTTTCTTATAATAAACTAAGTCTTGTTTGATTACGGGCTAAAAAAGTAGTTATTCATATAAAAATAAAAACATTTATTCAAATATAAATTATTAAAACATTTAATTTAACGTATAATTCTATCATTACTTTTTACAGTTGTTGTTTTTTATTTATATACTGTATATAAATATTTTTAAAATTAATTTTTTGTTAAATAATAACAAAATTTTAATTATTTATGAATTATCATTTTCTAAAATGCATATAAAGTTTTTATTTCACTATTTTATGGTTTTTATTTTGTTTGCTAATTATTTGCTAAAATTATTGCATACACACATTGGACAACAAGCAAAAAAAACATAAAAACAAACAAAATAAATATTGAATGGTTTTGAAATATTCATTAATTTATTTTTGTGATTTGAATTTTATATATATTTACATTTATTATAATTTTTAACTATAATTTAGTGTCTCTGCATAAGATAATTGATTACTTCTAAATCATTTGTGTAATATATTGTATAATACAACATATTTAATAGCATTTAAAATGATTTTATATTTAAACAATTTCAATTCATTTGAATTACAAAATTTTGAACAGTTGTTCAAATTTGATTGGGTTTCAAATTTTTAATATGTTTTTGTCAATGAGCTGTTTGTGTTGTTGTTTAGGATATCAATCATAAAAATTAATATTTAATTTTTGGTTTATATTTTGAAAATTTTATTTGTGTTAACTTTATTTGTTATTAAAACAAAGTTATTATTGGTTTAAATTTTATAATTTTTTGAAAATATTAATTTTTTTATTGTTATCCATAATGTAAGTACAGTACCTTATTATTATAATAATTATATTAAATACAAAAAAAATATTACTACAGAAAAAAACTTTAGAAATTTGTTGTTATGTATGTCGGATAAGTAGTATGTATTTCATGTGAATTACAAATCAATATATTTTATTATACAGTATGTATTGTTGTATCAATTGATTGATTCAGTAGTAATTTTGTTGAACAGAGTCTCAAATAATATCAATTTTTAATATCAATAGCAATTGAATTTAATGAATAAAACAATTTTGTGTGTTTGTAGCCGCAGAATATATTTATCATTATTATTATTACTATTACTATAAAACTCTTGTAGTTTATAGTAACAATTGAATTATTGGTATATAAATATAGTGTACAATAGAGAGAAAATTTAATACATTTTTATAGCAATTCAATTGGTAGGGTATGTCTGGAATGCAAAATGATTTTCACTTTTCACTGCCTCTCTCTCTCTCTCTCTCTCTCTCTCTCTCTCTCTCTCTCTCGCCTTAAACCTAATACTTGTATACGATTTATATATAAATATATTATACAAAACAATGAATAGTGATGTTTATAAATACTGTATATACTATGTTTTAACAGTATGTATATAAGATATAATGTATAAATTCCTACTCATCCCCACCCCATCTCTAGCACATCAACTGCTGCCACACCAGTGCTGCCAATCCTGTTATCACACATTTATCTCACTCTACGAGATATCATGTCTTAAATCCCCAATACATCCCTTAAGAGGCCTATTCTTCTCACTCATCTCTTGTCTAACTCAAAGTTACTTACTATTAGTAATATAAAGATATTAATTCATTTCAATCATCATATTTAGTCAACATTTTCTTTCTCTTCCTTTTAATAATTTAAACTATAAATAACTTTAATAATTTCAATAGTAATTTGGAAATGAGATTAATATTAATTTATGCACCAAATGTATACATTTGTCAAATTTTATTAAATATTTCATTTTTGAAATATTCATAAAACATTTGTATAATATTTAATATTTTAGTTTTATGTCCGAAATTTACTAATCTTTCTAAATATTGTAAAGATATTAACAAAAATATTATATATTAACATTGAATTAAATAATTGATGAAAACATTGAGATAATTAAGTTTATATAAACTTAAATGCCTTTAAAATTACTTTATTTTAAAGGGATTTTGATTTTTTTAATTATTTATTGAATATCATTGAATATAATTAGTAGCACTTTTTATTTATAAATTATAATATTGAAAACTGTTTATTTTATTTTACACTTTTATTTTTTAATTTATTTGACATAAAATTAAAATAAATATTTATAAATAATTATATATTAATTTTTCAAAATCTTTAAAGTTATTTAAGATTGAAATCATATTTTTAAATTACATTAAATATATTGAAATAATTAAAAAAAATATTTATCTATGTTTTGCTTAAAAGATATGAATCAAATCATATATATTTTTAATTATTATTGAAATATTCGTGACTTTTACTGAATGTAAAATTAATTTTAATAAAAATAAAATAACTAAAATGTTTAATGAAATATATTATTCATATAGTAATATATATATATATATATATTTCTATGTAACAAAATATTAGAAAATCGTTTATTATTTTCTTGTAATAAATTTTTGCTAAAATTGTGTGATATATGTTTACATTTAAAATCAAAAGTCAATTGAAATATTAAACCTTCAAAATGGGTTTCAAAGATAGATATTTTGGATGTTTAGTTAAATGAGTGAAATGTTATTATAAATCTTATGCAAAATGTGTTTAAAATTTAAAGTTCAATAAACTTTTTTTCCAAACAAATCATTTATAATAAGTATTATAAAAATATAAATAAATATCAAATAAAATTGACTGTTATTTGTATAAATTATAAGCATATATATTAACACTTTAATTATATTTAAGTTTAGTAAGTGATTTTTTGTATAACATTTTTTTAACAGCAATATAATAGATTACAGTATAAATTATATATATTAGTGGTGTTAGTTGAGCTGAAAATCTCGTCCCGTATTGTCCTGTCCTGTCCGGTCCGGTCTTGC